TCTTAGAGAAAATTAACACAGTTTGTAGTGTCAGAGAAGCCTTAAGAGCACAGTCTGAAACAACAATTCAATTCGCCAAAGTGCCCAGCTAAAAGTAGAACAGAATCCAAACTACCTTTACAAATTTTCTCAAAAAAAACACCTGGGGTGTTTTGACAGACGGCTTAAATTTGATCCCTTGTTTTCGTTGTAGGCGCGAGCTTTTGAAAGTAAGCCACTCTTGTTGCTGCCCTCCATTCGCGTGAAAATTTTCTTGTATATATAGATCGATGACCACGATGTCGGCAATTGGGGTTTGTGCGCCTTCTGTTACTCATATGGAATGGAGGACATATTTCTGAAAACTTTGGTAAGATGTTCTCAGAATAAAGCGTATCTCTCTTTCTGTAGTCTGCTGCCGAAGAAAATATACATTTTAAGGACGGCGCTTGAGTGAAAGAGCAATTATGATAAAAATAGGGGAGTAAAAAATAGTCGCTTACTTTACACTTTCGAATAAACACGTGCCAGTCTAATTCGCGACCTCGCAACCATCTAACGAAAAGGATTTTCTAGCCTTACCTTGGATGGAACTTGATCATCGTGGCAAATATAAATAGGTAATGCGGACGCCTATGCCCCTGCTCCTGGGCTTCTAGTCAACGGTTTTCAATGTTTCGGATATGAAATGAAGTACCAACGCATACAAAAGGTACTTAAGTACATTCCTGCTACCTTAAAAGAAACTAGTTTTATTGGCCATCTAAGATTCATTTCTACACAGTATTACTTTCAGACTCGGCGTGATTTTTACCGTACTGTGTTACATGCGAAACTTTAGTAATGGCGACAATCTAAAATGCATGTATAAAGACCTTGCAACATTTTAAAACCGACAGAAGCCTTAAACAGAGACCCGAGAAAGAGAAATAAAATAGATTCGCTTTACTGAACCAATCCACTGCTTCCAGTGAGAGCTTCCGCCTTATATGAAACGACGTTTAAATGCTCAGTTTTCATTTCAGATCACTATCGCTGCTCTCAGACAAAAAAATTCAACAAAAGAAGACTTTAGCGTACACAAAGCTGGAAGCTGAAATCGGAGCCGCAGTCCTAATACGCCACAAGCATCCACCTCTTCTAGATCCTACCCATTGGCAGGCATGCCTTGACGTCATGGCTTCCCCGTCTGCCCGGAAAACAAATCCTCCAGAACTCCCGGCCCCACTTACGGAAACTGTTAAACTCGACGAAGAAGCCTTCTGCGGTGGTATAAGCTTTTGTCTACAGGTCTACAAAGCCCAGGATAAGAAAAGTGGCAAAGTAAGATTGCTAAATGTCCTGTGTTTATTTCGAAAATCATACTTAATTTTTTACATGCAGGTTTCCACTTTCTACAAGAATCCTCACGGGAACATATCTATTTTATGGAATACTTACCAAGTACTTTTCTGCAATCAGGGCTATAACGCATAATACTGTCAAGCGCAGCAAATGTGCCCTCATCAATGAAAATGCCTACTGATTTAACCACGGTGGCTTCCATCGGCGCCTCAATATATGATAATGGCAGTCATTTCTCTCACTTTCAATTCCAATTATTGGGCAACTATTAGGAAAGGCTTTGGCAGACCAAGAGGCGTGCTCTAGATCTTAATCAGCATATAAATACGTATAAAGGTTACGTGGGCTGCTCACATTGAACCATGCGAAAACATTATTCTCACACCTAAACTCCAAATTTTCCCGGCAAGCATACAACAAAAAAAGCAGCTTCATTTGTTTCCTTGATGTTAAATTTTCCGGCTGAAACATAAATCCCTAGACTCGGTTAAAGGACATCTATCACCAGATAGACATTAACTATCCCCCCCAACATTTAGATAGTATTGTCATAAAAAGTAGAGAAAATGGGCTGATCATTTTGACTCATAAGCCGTCAGCAGCTAGTGATAACCACCCTCAAGCGTTGGCCGCCCCAGGCTCGACACGACGACGTTTTAGTCAGAAGTCCAACACTCTAACCATTCTAACCACTCTGCCTCGGGTCTCCCTCTCGAGCATTGTCAGCAGCACGCAACGGCTAGAAGTTGGCAGGTGCAAAGTCAAGTTAAGCGAACGAACTTTTCGGATTATTCATCATCATCAGGCAAATACAGTGATAGGAGGAAGGGTAGAGGGAAAAAGAGGTTTTAAAATGTTTCACTCTGTCCTTGTATTATTCTATTCGACTGATTATTAATAATCTAAAACATTCTTTGACTTTCTGAGTGCTAACATGGGTATCATTGCTAAATATAAATCATCAAATGCAAGGGCGACTGGAACGGCCAGTTCTAGCTCATTAGCCATCAGCAGTTATTCGTAGCCAAACCCAAGTAGTTTACCACCCGTTACGTCACACCACTCATATTTGAGTATATATATATATATATATTTGGAGGAGAAAGTTATCCCAAGGACAAGTGTTTTTTGAATTCTCAGTGCACACAGATGGACGTGGGAAGTCCGAAAAAACACAATGTTAAAATACCTGAAACGGAATCAGTTAATCTATAGTTAGAGTAATGGCAACCACTATATTTTTCAGTCATTAACATAGCCTTTCGGCGAACAGTTTTTACTAGCAACTAAGCATTGCTATTTATTTCCTTTAGAATATTTGGATTTGTGCTTGAACTAAATATTGCAAAGAACATTGAAAGCACCTGGATATCAAAAGGTCGCTATGAGACGGGATGAAACCGTTTACTGAATCAATTATTAAGTAACTAAGCAGTTGGGATAATGACTCAGTGGTACTCTGTCGAAAGTGAAGGGTGGTTGATAGTAAAATTTCGCTAATGCGTACTGCAGCAGAAACACCAGAATGCTGTGGAGTGTCCTTGGATCAGCAATGACAACAACTAGGTGTTGATAGGTTTACTTTCTGCACAGTTGAACAAATGGAAGGGGATAATTTGGAAGCCGAATATCTACATTACAACCAAGTATAATCAGTGGTTTCTCCTGCATCGGATTTCGTGCTTGTGCTCATGTCCAGTTTTCCAAAGGGTGTCAAAGAGCAGCCTGAACTATGCAACCCTGGTAAATATCAGTCGATAATGCAGCAACAGTAGCTTATGTAGGCCAAATCAGTAATCCCTGCTCCCTGCATTTTTTCCTACGAAAACGGTATTTATAGGGTTTTATGGGTGGGGACTTAGGACAAGCAGTGGAAAATACTTTAATAAATGCTAAATTAATTTTTATTTTACTGCATTTAGAAATGTTGTTGATTTATAGCTGTAGCTTTGCCTAATCTGTATTATCTTTTAACTTTTTGCGGAAAAACCCGATTATCAAATTGCAGGTTTCTTGAATTTGACGAAAAAATGAAATGGTGGTTAGTAGGTCGTCTACTTAACAGTTCTGGATTTAGATTAGTATAGTCCGCGGTGCGATGCGCCGCGCACACCTTCAATTTACGTGCGGAACAGCTTAATCCCAGTGGCGGCGGGAAGCAACTTCGACCAAATATTTTTTTCTTTTTGCACTTCTAAAAATTTCTTTCTCCGCCTATCCTATTTCCCGATTCCCCAAAATTCTATAACCATCGTTTTTGCAGGACAAAATGCTGGGACTAACGGTATATGAGTGGGCCTACATAAGCTACTTTTGCCGATACTACTTAGCCAGGTATCTACCGAAACATTACAAAAGTCACCCGCAAAAGGCAGTTAAATATACGTAAATTTCCAAAGCATAAGCTACGTTTGAATCATGAACGTGTAAAAAATAAATGACTTCAATTAATAACAAGCCAATGACTGTTAATGTTACTAAGGCTCTCTGCATCAAATCGTAAACAAAACCTTATGTTTTGTCCAACCCGTTGCCCATTGTTATTTTAAAAAATTATGTTTGCAGCATTCATGTAAAACATTCCCAATGGAACATTTTTATCGCATCGTAGCGATTAACTGGAATTCGTTCACGCTTTCATGATACACCTCTGTCGGATTTGCCATTTTGTCTATTTCAAAGTACCGCATAAATCATCTCCCGAAAAAAGAGAATAAATAGGGCGAGTGCATGAACGGACCTTTTTAATATAGTTATGCTTTTTAGCCCTTGTTGCTTCTATCATCGGAGCATCGTAGTTGCTGCTTATCATGGTCTTCGTCAATCTTGTCGCCTACCTCTTATTTTAGAAATGTTGGACGAGGTTGGCCGCTGGCGGGCTTACGTGACCTCTGTTCACTGTTGGGGTCGACCTAGTTGTAGCCAATTCCATGTGCCTATTGGCCACGTAAATCGGTGTACATATCAATGGTTACCTTTCGCCTAAGTTGCTGTCTGCTTTGCATGCGCATCGGCGAGGAAATGTTAGGTGTCAAGACGCAGCAACTATAATACTCTGATAATGGAAGCAAGAAGGGTAAGGAAATGTCAGCACAAATACAATCCAGTCACCTATTCGCTCCCTCTTTTACTCTTTGTCTTCTTCCTCGGAGTTAACGAACGCGCTTATGCATCTCGACCTCAAATGGTTGCGCATACTGATTTAATTTTATGGGCAGGCAGGAGGGAGACGTTTGCGAGGCGATTTTCATTCACCTTCACTCAGCTGAAATTCCTGCATCGGTGCGTTGATGGGTACGTCCTGCCGAAAAGCATCAGCTTTAAACCACCCGTGAAGACTAAGCTATGCCAATGAACGATAGCAGGTCTCAAGAAGAAAACGGTCGGGGGCGGGTGGTGATGACCCACTCTCATGTTCAAATTCACATGTACCGGCGTAACATTAAATAGCATCCCTTGACAGTACTCGGCGCCACCACAAGTTACGTGATGATCTGTCGTATTTGAAGTTCGGAAAATTCTGTTTACCAAAGCAACTCTCGCCAGATGGGATTTTGATTTTCAAATTGTCCTTCCATCCTCTTTCTCAGAAGCGACTTGCATTTGTAGCCTTTTGACCTAAAGATCAACACGAGAGATACTCAAGCAAAAACAGTTCGATTCGACTCTGCGGAAACATGTGGCTAATGAGGATTGCAAGAACGCCATGTGGCAACAAGTGGCAACTGTACTCCACCAGCGCGAAGACCAAATGCCGATTTCTAAAGCAAAAAGAGGGAACTTCTGACGATATTGTCACTCTGCACGCTGATAAAGAACGTCCGACGGCTTTTGTGGATAAGGCTGACCATGAGGCAAAAGTGGACAACGTCTCGATGGACGGTAACCTTGCGCGCTATTGACTGCCAAGAAAAGATTTTGAACGGTATAAACAAGTGATCGACAAGCTGAGGAAGGCGAGAGGCTTCAAGTCAAATGCTTGGCCACAGATGTCACTGATGCCACGATGGCGCAGTCTTAAGGCGTGCGAAAGTTCCACGAGCGCTGAGCACCACTCGTTTTTTATCTTCTTACGAAGCACCCCAAACTTTGTGCTGCCAAAGTGGTTGTGCCAGCGAATTTGTTTCCTTAACAAAGACTCCAGGTGGAAGATGAAGTCGATTGACGAATTTTTGGCACACATTCTTTATCCTCAAATAGTGGCAGACGAAGAAACGACACCATTTGTTGCTATTTCCTTACATACCTCTATCCTACTCAGTTTAACTATTGATAATAGAGAGAAATTTCAAGGAAATGCATCCTTTGTGAAAATGAGTAAATTCATTCAGAAATTTTCGACACTGAGTCCCCAGGTCGTCGTCATCCTTGAGAAAAATGAGCAAAGAACTGTTATTTTGCTGAAGGCTGACGACGACCTGGCCATCCAGTGTTGAAAATTTCTGTATAAGTTTACTCATTTTCCCAAAGGACGCCTTTCCTTGAAATTGCATTTCTTGGGATGTCTGCCTTCCAGTTTATACGAAATAGGGAGACGTATCCGGAAAACATGATGGCGATACCAACCAAGAGCTCGAACAAACGCATATTATGGAGCTCCCGAAATTCCGTAAGACTTTCTTCAGTTTCAACGGCCAGGTCCACGAGGATAAGAAGGAGAAAGCGATGGGATCGTTCCTGTCTGGACGTATTGTCAAAACTGTTCTGCGGATGTTCGAGCGGCTGGTCTTCAGCGCGGATCCCGAAATTCTGGGCCGGATACGTATATGACACATTCGTCTTGCTCACGCGAAGCCACTTGTAGGCTGTCAAGACATAATTCAATCCGGTATTTTCAAACATTCAGTTTATTATGAAAAAGAAGTAACAATCAATTACCCTTTCCTGATGTCCAAATTGCAAAACCGGCAGACAAGAAGATAAGGAGGATTGTCTCCGGTAGGGTAATCACTATTAGGCGGATCCTCAATTTCTGAAGCAATCACCCTGTTGGTTACAAACGCGGTTGTGCCAGTACTCTATTTCGGGGTGTTCAAACAAACTGTAGTGAGGAACTTGGGAAGAAGGACAAAATTAAATATTTGCATGACCTATTAAAAGCCAACGGTTATTCAAATTCTCAGGAAATGCCTTGGTAAGATTTGTTTTCACAGGTCGAGCAAAGAAATGCCATATGTCTTGTTCGCAGCCCCTATGTCAGAAAGTTTCCGAGGGTAGGCAAGGATCGGCGCGGCCCATAAACCAGACAGCCAATTATAAAGTCCAATTACCCGCTGTCAGTAAGTAAAGGATCAGCAGTGATAAACAGCATAGCGTGTAAAATGGTGATGCGAGTAATGCGGTTGAAAAGGAAAAAAATGTCCAAGTACAATATTGCAGCAAATCCAACATGCATACAACCATGAGGAAAAGTTGTTTTGGAGTTTGTGGTCACGTACAACAGCTGCACCACTGTCTAGCCTTTGGGAAAGCGAGACTGGTCGGCAAAGTCAATAAAAAGATGGCCGAACCGGTGTTCGAACAATCGATGAATCTGTAGATTTGCATTCCCCTTTATAGATACTTCATAAAAAAACTCGAATAATTTCGGACAAGGCCAGTAGGGAATACCAGTACGCTGGACCGAATATAGCTTCTCACAGAAAGTAGAGTTGGCGGTTTGGATTCATGTGACTGACATCTTACATTTGTTCGCCTATGCGCATGCGAAGTGCTGAACAACTCAAGCGAAGAGCAACCACTTATATGTCCGCTGACTGATATGGGTAGGTTAATAAGCACGTTGACTTCGCTACAATTACTCCTACCCCAAAGGACAGAGATTACGTAAGCCCGCCAGCGGCCAACCTCGTCCAGCGCGGTTTTAATACAAGGTAGGCGACAAGACTGGCTAACACAGGGCCACCAGATGTAGCAACCACAACGAAAGGATTATGAATGCGAGAAGGGTTCCAAAACGTCAGTAAAAACACAATTTGATAATCCAACTCGTCCTCTTGTCTTCTTTGCTCTTGGGATATGATAAGCGCGATAAGGTATCTGGACCTCGAATCTTTACGCATTGCATTTGTAACACATATATGTATATTAGAAAGTGATCAATGGTTTCCAAATCAGGTTCAAACGATTTTGTCAAAAAAGCTAAAATAAAATTAAAATATTCCATCTCTTACCTGAAAATATACTGCTAGCCTTCTTAATTCTAATACATTTCGACAACTGATCAAACATTTTCTATTGCCTGGATGAGGCCATCTTCATATGCAAAGAACTAGCACACCTGTAAGTTTCCCAAAATACACAAGTGAAAGTCTTTGAAATGCCTAAATATGGTTCTATGATTACAATTCCTTCAACTTAACTGCAGGCCAATTGTGAAATAAAAGTTTAGTCTCAGACTATAAACACTCCTTAAAGTCTCACTACCAAACACTTGCCCTTTCCACACGCTAAACCTTTAATACTTAAACCTAGGATGCTCACTTACGTGCCGCCGTTGGGAGATTAATCATGATAACTACCGTTACAGCCAAACTGCTTTTGCTAGCTCTCAGAATGTTGCAAAGTGCTCTTTGTGATTTAAGTGTTGTGTTGTGATTCACTTCAAATAGAAAATCACAATTTTTCGCAATAACTTGCATGCTGGATGTGAGCCTTATATAAATTCGAGAAACTACATAGTTGGCAAATCACTTTTGCCATCTAATGCTTTCTGCAGCCAAGCTGCCTGGAGAGTATGATCAGTAAAGCTATCTTTGCATTCTTTCGACGTAAGACAACGCATAATTGTCAAATGAAAGGGCAACCACTAATCAAGTCCACTTTTTGTCTCAATTTACGTTATCGTACTTTCATTGTGTACTTGTGCGCATGTGAAGGGTTTTTGAATTCTGTCTGCCCGAGCTCCCATTCAAGCTGCCTGAACTGAGTAGTTAACTGCGTTTTGCTATGCTAAATGTATTTTTTTCAACAAGATGTAATAGTAGAATGTTTTTGTTTTTGTTTTAGGCATGTACTGCGTTTATCTACACAAAGAACACCTCCAAGAGGTCCGGAAAGTCGCGCAGCAAGGACATAAATGCTGAAATTTGCCGACGGGAGGTTGAAAATCTGCGTACATTTAAAAATAAGCGTATTCTCCATTTGTACTCAGATGTCATTGAGACAAGGTAAGTGCACAGTTAGTGCATGACAAGCCAAATTCCGCTCATGTAGGCAAAAGTAATGCTGGAAGTCATAATACAATTAGTGACCGTAAGGTTCTTATCCAAGTAAGGAAATCTAAAGTCGTTGGCTGGAAGCAGGCATTTGAAACTTTTGTTAAAACTGAAAAACGTAACGCAATAAGCATCCCAAGATGACTTATAAAAGTTATTTGGAAATCAACTTTAGCTCCATAGTAAAGTTAGTGCATATTAAAGTACATCTACGAGTAATTTCTATGGCACTTAATGAATAGCTAGTGGCAAACGCCTTAACATTGTGGGAAAGGTTTGAAGATATTAGTGTACTTGACAACAGTCTTGCCCAAAGGACGCAGTAATAAAGCATTACAGACCGCAAACCTGTTACGAACAGTATAAGATAAAGCATACATCAATTTACAAGTAAAAGGAGACAATGACGGTTCCCGATATATAATTACAAAAGTAGTGCTTTGAGGTGTTAGAATCAATCATATTTTAATGTAAATTTGCAAATTATTTACGTAGTGGTTGAAAATACATATTGAAAAATATAATTTAACGTGACGAGGAGGGTGATTTACTAGGAAATATGTACGTCAAAACGTTATTTAGCAACCTGTTTGTACTGGGTATAACACGTAGTAAAGTAAAGCAGCGTGAACATAGGAAAGATGAATCCGCTACAGACATTAGACAATGCGATAATAATTAGGATTGTAATTAAAAATCACACAATCGGTCCTCGAAACAATTCGATAAGGAACAAATATAAGCCTACAGCAATGCAAAGTAACTACCAACGTTAAATGTAGTGATACTGCTACCTAAAAGTGTTTTGAATGTATTCATCGAACTGAATGATACAAACTCAGTTTTTCTCATATTTTAGGTTGGGCTTAACATCCTATTCAATAACTACTACAGAGCAGATTAAAATAGTCCTAGACTACGTTTTTATTGAGGATAAAATCGCACAACTCTTAGAATAATAAACGTTTCTCATATTGATGATTGCAGTTTAATTGTAAAACATTTAGGATTCCCACCATACGAAACATTTTTCTAAATGCTACCTATTTAGTTTACACTCTTATTTACGGCCACAAGCATCGACAAATTAAAATTGATCGAATATAAATATAATATATGGGAAAACCAAAGCAGATTAACATTGACAGATAAAATGATTAACAGAAAACCATTAAACGCTGTTGGGAACGAAGGCAATGTGCTACTTTAATGCATGTAATGTTGAAAGCCGTTTCCCATCAGTACATATTTGGCCCATTTTACATTTTATTCGTATATATTTGTTTGCAGTTCAGTCTATTTATTTTGACAAATAACTGCCTTAGGTTACACTTTTAACCTTTTTCAAGGTTTCGTTAAACATACGACCAGAAGTATACATTCGCCTAAGCTGCACCGTCTGAGATGTGGTCCTACGTGTCCATATGGATATTGCAAAGGCACTCATATTGCTATATTGCCTTCCGAATGCAAACAAAAAGAGCTCCAAGCAAGGATTTACTGTGTGACTAGGCATCCTCAAAGCATTCCAAGTCCATTAGCGTAAGGCTTTTCTCTTTAAGGAGCATTTATCAATCAGCAAGACAAGCAGAGTAACAAAAAGTATGCTTCGAGAATTATAGGTCACAAGGAAACTCGAGAATATCAATCACCTGGTAAATTGATGGTTTTACGATCGCACGAGA